GAAGACAAAGATGGTGATTGGATGCTTGTTGGAGATGTACCATTGGATATGTTTATTAATTCTTGTAAAAGGCTTAGAATCATGAAAGGGTCTGATGCTAAAGGTTTGGGGTGCCTATAGGGATCTCATAGATTAGATTTAAGGCGAATTATGTGGGTTCAACTTTGTTTTTGATTCGATTTATGTATATATATATACACACAAAAAGAATAAATTTCTAAGTCTAGTGATTTTGGATTATCATAAATTTGAGTCGATCTGACCACCTTAATTACGGAGAAGGCTCAATGAGCTTTTTGATTGAGATGCAAAACCATATTAAGGAGCAAATGTCTTACATGATGTGAATCTGAATTAATTGGGTTAATATATTTTTCGGATACCAAATGATTATAGGAAAAAACAAAAAGGATCAATGAACTGCTTGATTGAGATGAAAACCCTTCTCCTTAATGGTCTCTAAACGCATATAGATTTGAATTGATTGGGTCAGTATATTTCAGATACTAAATGATTATATGACAAGAAAAAGACTAATTACGAGCTTGTTGACTTGGATGAAAATCCGTTTAAGAAGCGCTTCCTTTTTAATGGGCTCTAGGTGCACTAGGGTTCGAACTGATTGGGTCAATATATTTTGAATATCGGATGATTATAACAAAAAGTAATAATGAAAGCCTCATAAAATATACATTGATTGAAGATTATTACAATAAATACAAGGCTAAGAATTCCTATCTCTATGGTTTCAATTGTGCATGTGGGACATAATACACAATGTAAATTCAGCTATAATTCTTGGACATAATTTTTTTTGGGATTTTTTAAAAATTGTTTTTTTTTCTTTCTAAAGAACTTGCTGTATATTCAAAAAGTATATTTTTATTTATTATATATATACAGGGGAATACACAATTGTATGAAGGGTTGTGTTTATTGCTGATTTAATGAATCCAATACAAGAAACCATTTTTTTTTTTAATTTAAGTTTATTTTGGTCTATAGTGCCACAATATTTTATAGGGAAAATCACTTACATGTACCCTTTTTAAAAAATATTTACGTTATTTGTCAACATTATTCTTTTAACCATATATAACAATTTGGCTGAATGACAATATTGCTAAAAGTTGCGAATGGTAGCACTTTTTGCTAAGTTTAAAGGAATAAAATTGTTTTAAGTAAGTATTGCTAAAAGTTGACAAAAATGGTAATAAATTAAAAGTATACTTAAAAATGGTAATTATTAAATAAAAGACCTTCACTTATGTAATTTTTCCTATTTTTTATTTAAGTTTAATCAGGCAGTACAAGGACATGACAGGGCAGGTGAGAAGCTTAACGGGGAAGAGCAGGGGCAGAATGGTCAAACAATTTTTCAACAAATAATAAGTAGGACAGGGCAGGGGTTTTAGATGCAAAGAACATTTACTACGACATATTTTTTTCTGAAAAATACTAAACGGGTCAAGAGAAGACAGGTCAAAATCTTAGCAGATCAAGACTTGTCTATGCTATTGCCACCCTTCACGATGTCCTGACCTTACGAGCAATAATTGATTCCATCTATGTGACCTTGCTCTCGCGCAACATCAATAACAACAACATTTCTAATCTTGTTTAATTTGACAAAGAAACTCTCTTAATTAGTTTTCAATGCAAAATATACATTAGTGATAAATTCAAAATATTTTGTACTAAATTAATAATACTTTTAAAAGTCATAAATTAGATGATAATGTGTTGCACCAAAGTTAGATTCTGTATCAGATGTGAAGATGTTTAATTTTATGTAACATCAACATTGTATTATGCATTTCTTGTTATCTCTTGTATTCAGGTTAATAAAGGATTATAAGAATTATGTTACTAATTAAATTATGTAAGGTATGACCTTACGTAAAATTATGTGTACGCTATTATTGCTAATGTTTTTTTTTTTCAATTCGATATTCAATATTTATATTTATATTGAACCTCAATTAAATTTGAATACACACATTATAGAGGCCATTTAATTTACGAGGGCAATGCTCAAATAAGATTGTTAATGCTTAATAGCGTAGGTACACGCACATTGCTAAATAATCAAATTTTGGATATCTATGATGATCAATATTTCAAAGAGGTTACAAAAAGTACAATTAAGATTTTCCATCACACTATAGTATATGGGAAAATAAACAAGGGTCAATCATGGCCCATGAAGCAAAAAATCAAAATCAGAAAATGGAAAAGGAGTACATAGTTATGTAGTATTTAGAATTTTTCCTAAAAAGAATGAATTAATATTGCTCCATAGTTGCCACTAGATTTTTTTTTTTTTCAATTAGTAGCCATAACAAAGGGGACCTTATAAGGTTGTGGATATTCATGAGTACGAGTAGGACGAGCAACCTTTTTACGACCTGCAAAGTTCTTTTCTGATATTTGACTTGTCATGCCAATAGAAGGAACAGTGGTGCCATTATTGGGAGATGGCGGCGGGACGGGTGGTTTCAATGGAAGAGATGACAACAAAAGGTATCTTTTTGTGATTTTACGACCTGCAAAGTTCCTTTCTACTATCTGACTTGTCATGCCGGTAGGATGTGGAGTGTTGGTGGCAGGATTGGGAGACGGCGGCGGGATGGATTTCCACTGAGATGGCAACAAAAGGTATTTATATGTGGTTTTACAGCCTACAGAGTTCCTTTCCATTATCTGACTTGTCATGCCAATAGAAGGAGTGTTGGTGCCAGGATCGGATAATGGCGGCGAGACAGGTGGTTTCCGTTGAGATGACAACAAAAGGTATTTATTTGTGGATTTATGACCTGCAAAGTTCCTTTCCAATATCTGACTCTTTATGCCAGTAGAACGTTGAGTGTTGCCGCCACCATTGGGAGATGGTGGCGAGACGGGTGGTTTCCATTGAAGAGATGACAACAAAAGGTGTTTGTTTGTAGTTTTACGACCTGCAAAGTTCCTTTCTAATATCTGACTTGTCATGCCAGTAGAACGTGGAGTGTTGGTGCCATTATTGGGAGATGGTGGAGGGACGGGTGGTTTCCATTGAAGAGATGACAACAAAAGGTATTTTTTTGTGGTTTTACGACCTGCGGAGTTCCTTTCTAATATCTGACTTGTCATGCCAGTAGGATGTGAAGTGATGGTGCTAGAATTGGGAGGTGGCGGCGGGATGGGTGGTTTCCATTGAGATGACAACAAAAGGTGTTTGTTTGTAGTTTTACGACCTGCAAAGTTCCTTTCTAATATCTGACTCTTTATGCCAGTAGAAAGTGGAGTGTTGCCACCATGATTGGGAGATGGTGTCGGGATGGGTGGTTTCCATTGAAGAGATGACAACAAAAGGTGTTCATTTGTTGCCTGAATTACAACTTTGTTTCCTGAAAGAATTCGAGCAGCTTCGTTCCGTGTAGCGCCTAGAAAAAATAAAAACAGTAGTGTTAGTGTCATTTTACTACATGTAGAACCTAAAATGTTACTTTGTGATCTCATTGTTGGTATTAGAAAATAATGAATGAGGATTGTGATTATGGTGACTGGTTATTGAAATTGGCTGCATATTTATACCCTTATGAAATAATTAACGTGTTAGAAAGACTTCAAATTTTTCCAAGTTTTCAATTTCATGCAAAAATTTTGACCATTGACTGTTAGGGTTTACAAAAAAATTCGAAATTGAATTCTAGTCTTATATTCAAGAAAAAAAAAAGATTAATAATCGTTTGAGAATTGAAATACACGATGTTGATCCCATAACTAATATATCTTTAAAATAATAAAATTAATTTTATCTAATTCCGTTAATTCAAAAATATATTAGGAGTTTCAAGTTTTACAAGTGAATCGATTTAGAAAACACAATTTGGAGTTTAAACAAATTTAAGATCTTATAAAAGTGAAATATGGGAACAATTATTCGCGAGTACATCAAAGCTTTGCCAGTTCAAAATATTTTCCGAGTTTCAAATGTCTAGTTCAAATTCCGTGACATAATTTCCTAGAGTTTGAAATTTTAGATTATTTTTTTTTTTTTTGAAATTTTCCGTATTTTAGCTAGATATATTCTTATCTAATTTATTTTCACATTAAAAGAGGTTAAATATTGAATAGTTATAAAAAAAAGTGGTTAAATATGAACTTCTTGAGTCATGAGCTATTTGACTTTGATAATAATAAAGTCTTTTTATTTTCTTAGCATGTTTTCTAATGGAATTAAAACGTTTTGACCATTGACTACGTGGAGTTTACACTGAAATATTAAATCGTGATACACTATACAAAAACGTAAAAACAATGTCGAGAAATTTATACGTGTTTTCGTAGCATATATATGTGTGTGGATACACTTTAAAATAACAACAGTTTAAAAAGATTACTAGAACGAAAGTTTGAGATTGTTATAGCAAATACGCGTTCAGATACAATTATTATCCAAATAAATATAATTAGATAGAAATATTACATATGCGTTAACATACATATTAAACTCGTGAATATTTCACAATTATTATGCTATACACTCATACATATACACAATATATTTATTCAGCTACATATTGTATTTATTAATTGTTGGACATGAAATTAAATATTTACTTAAGTTTGTTGTTAACAAAATTCTAATAACTCTATTAAATAAATAAGTATGCCACTAGACATTTGACATTCGTTGGTTTTGTTTAAATCTTTCTTTATTACGTTAGTAGATAAGTGCATCTTTTATTGCATTTCTTTTTTTTTTCTTTTTAAATTAAGCAAACATTACTAATACAAATTAACATCAAACAAATAAAAATGGATTAACTTGTAAAAAATCAAATTAAAGTATACAAATCGCGGTGATAAGATTTGAATAATTAAAATTCAGAGTTAAAAGATAAATAAATAAATAAATATAATGATTGTGATCTTAATAATTATTATATATTTGATAATAATTTATTAAGTGCGAACAAATAGAACATTTTCCCAACTATTGTGATGTTCATAACTCATAAGGGGAGCAAGTATCGAAATTCTGAGGCGTAAGGTTGAACCTCTATCATCTTAGCAAGCGATAGAGATTTCTTTTCCCCTGCGTCAAGGCAATCCATCATCGACTTTTTCAAAGAGCACGAGCTTGGTAATTGACTATACATCCATTCAATTAGTGACTCCATATCATCTGCAAAGTCTTTCATGTGCCATTGCATTAGTTTGGGAACCATTATCTTCTTCTTACTTGTTACTCCTACTGAAGCTTCCAAATACTCCATTTTTGCTCTTTCCAGCTCGTTCGCGATTTCATCCGGTCTGTAGATTCTTAGCTGTAACAACACAACATTGTTATGCTCATGACTAGGAACTTACATTCACGGTGAAAATGTTTGACTCGACACAGAATTTGAAAATTATGATCTAAATAACAGGTAGATATTTTGAAAAATGACAAAATGGTCATTTAAGTTTAAGGGTTGGTTCAAAATAAACCCTTGAGTATGCAACTGAACAATTTTGATCCTTAAAGTTTGTCAAAAATTAACGCTTTTAGTCTACGTCAAAACTAGAGTCTGGTGCAACTTTTTGAGGTGTAATTTCTGATATTTTTTGTTATAGTTTTTTAGTGTCTAGTTTAATTTTGTGGTTTGAATATTTTAGGATTTGGTTGGACTTTTTAGGTGTTTATGGTTCATTTTTTCACAACTATTTTCGTCAAATCTAACGAAATAAATTGTGAATTGGTTGACCAAGACTATAACTTTTGACAAATTGAAGGACCAAAATTGTTCATCACATACTTAAATGGGATTATTTTGAACCTACCTTCAAACTTAAAGGACTCTTTTGTCATTTTTTAAAAATATTTACGTAACTATAAATCATTTCATCAAAAGTAAAATAAAAAGCTTAAAATCAAGTTATTACTATACATAACAATATACCATATTTTTATTGGAACCGACTAAAAAAAATGTGTCACATAAATTGCAACGAACTTACTGCAGGTGAAGACCAACTTCCTCGACATAGTGAAAACGTGACATTAGGTTCTGGATACTCAAGACCATAAGCATTCCTCAAAAATCTTTCGTTATCATCTTTCAATCCCTTTAAATCCAAAATAAATAATTGAATTCATCAAGCCAAAGAATGGTGAAAATTAATTAAAATGTATCTTGTAAGTTCAATTTACAGTTGTTATCTCATATCATCACTCAATTAATATATATCTCCGAAAGTCATTATTTTGTAAATGACTTTCTTAAATAATATAACTATTAGTTGAGTGATCATCTGAGTGTATTACTCACATGCTCAGCGTCCCTTGGATGCCTAAGGATGAAATGTTCGATGGCTAATGCATTAAGTACAATACCACCAACATTTATCGCAGCCTGCAAAAAACGCAAGCATATCATGAAATTAGCAACAGACAAATTATGTAGCCGAAAGAAAAAAAAAATGTTGCTAATCCTATTTAACGACAAATTTATAACATATTATCAAAAAAAATTGTTAGCTAGGGCAATTTAACACAAATTAGAGACATTTTTTTAAAAATTAGAGACAATTAACTGAGTAGCTAATCCATCACTAATAATATTATCAAAAAAATTATGTTAGCTACAAGCAATTTAACGACAGATTAAAGAAAAAGTTAGTAGGTAATTCCATTATTTTTTTTCCGGTGAAATAAAAAATTGTGCATACCTTATTCACGAGAGACAATTGTTCCTCCTCCGTAGAAGGCAAACCGTGTTGTAGAAATGCCTGAATTTAGCATAAACAATAAGTTGTATTATCAGTATTCAGGTCAATTTGTATGCATCAAGACTATTTTTTTTCTACCTAGCTCTCACAAACACGAATACGAAGTTTTTTCTAGCAATTTTATTTTCTTTTTTAATAGAAAAAAAGCTTAACATGTCTTACAGTACATTCATTATGCAGATATTATAGATATTGATCCAAAATGCCAACTTCTGCTTGTTTGTCAAGCAAGTTATGTCCACATTGCTAAATTTTTGCACCATACTCCTATAAAATATTAGGGAAACAATCATAATTAGAAAAGATAGAAATTAGTGATAGACAAATTTCATAGCTAAACAGCAAAATTCATCACTATTGGCCTATTCCTGTTTACCAATGGATTAGCTACAACTTAGCAAAACAACATGTTAGCTTCAAGCAATTTAGAGGTAGATTGTCAAAAAAAAATATGGTAGCTACGAGCAATTTAACAACAAATTATCAAAAGATGGTGTTATTTGCGAGCAATTTAGTAACAAATTATCAAAAGAATATGTTAGCTATGAGCGATTAGTGATATATTATGAAAAAAAATTGTTAGTTGCAAGCAATTTAGCGACATACTATCAAAATAATATGTTAGCTATGAATAATTTAGCGACAATTTATCAAAAAACTATGTTATTGCGAGTAATTTAGCAACATATTATAAAAAAAAGCAATTTAGCAACAAATTATCAAAAGAATATGTTAGTTGCGAGCAATTTAGTGATAGATTATCAACTGCTTAACAAAAGAACACGTTAGCTACGAGCTATTTATCAACAAATTAGTGACAAAGTTCATAGCTAATTCCAGTATTTCTACTTATAGTGAAATTTGAAAAAGGTACCTCAACTTTCCCATTTGAGGAAGACATTCAGATATATGGCTTGTATTAAGAGAAGTTCTTGAGACTTGGATGAAATTCTTGTATGATCCAATCTCTCCATGGCTTCCATCAGTGTCTAACAAGATCCCATAAGGATCAAGATTAGACGCGTAATCGTTGAACGCGAACGTTGGAGCATCAACAGCAGCTGATGAACAAGTTTTGCTACATATGAAGCTGCTTTTGGCTTTCTTGGAGGAAATTAGAGATTGTTTTACCATAGAAGTAGATGACCCTTTACTCTCTAATGATGCCTTGTTTAACTTAAGGTATATACTTATTAAACATTTGAGTACTTCTTCCGATAACTTATTTGGCGTTTCAGTTTCCATTTCTATATCTGCAGATTGACTGTGGTGTCTGCGCCAGCTTCTTGAACCTCTGGAACTACTCTCAACTATTTCCTCTGATTAATTCCACAACAAACAAAATTTTTTTGACAATGTTAGTATATTTGGATGTTACTATAGCTATTAAGTTTGAGTAAAAATTTTTTCCAAACTAGTATCAGAGCCTCTATGACTTTGGTTGAGATTTCAAATATAACAAAAAAAAAGGGAAGATAATGCTTCAATAATTGGAGGATTGATGACAAGTCCATCATCAACAACAAAAAAATGATGGTGATTAATGACAAATGCGTCAACAAAATTGAAGGTTGGTAACAAGTGCATCAACGAAAATTGGAGGTTGGTGATGTATACATCAATGAAATAAAGGAAAATATGGCTAGAAGTTGTAATTATTTTTTATGAGCGGTCAAATATGTAACTTTTTCGAGTACTAAGTATATTGACTTACCGGTGAGATCAATTGGAGTGTGGAAGTCTATGGAGGAACCAACAGTGGCTCTTCTTTCTTTTCGAATTCGATATTGTTTTCTTAGTTGTTGATAGTTACTTGATCTCGAGGCCACAGGGGGTTCAACATCTTTGTGTACTACTGGGCGAGGAGGCGGTAATTGCTTTGAAATCAATCGTTGATGTTGCACTTGTTTAAGTTGCAACATTTCCCATTTTTCGGCTAACTCTTTCTCTCTGTACAACTTTAGCTTTAGCACGTCGACTTTTCTCTCTAACCAAGCTATCTCTTCTTCCGTGGTAACCATTTCTTCTAGTAGATGTTGAACCTGTAGTGACAGGTTCAAAATTTAAAGTTTACGACAGTCACAACAAACATAGAGAAAGCTTGACAAAGGATATACGATTTGAAAATTTGTCTTTTATTGACTTTTTTGCATTAGAGTATCTATCCATCCAAAACTACAAATTAAATTAGAGAAGAATGTTGTTAGAAAATCGCTAAAAATTTTTTATAGATGTTTCATGAAATTTCGCTTGTCGGTGAAGGAGTTTCGAATGGAAAAACCGTCAATTTAAATAAAAAATTAGTGATATTCTGATAGTGAAAGAAGCGGAAGATAATATATATGTATGCCCTCCGACATTCACACACTTTGGTCTTTAGTATCTATTTGACCATCTTTAACCAAAAATTCAAACTAACGAAGAAACACTATCAGAAAATTGCTAATTTTTTACAGACATTTCCGTGGGAAATTGGCTCGTTGGTAAGCAGTTTTAGACAATAAAAGCCATTGGGAACGTTATCAATGAGCCAATTCCCATAGAAAAATTAGTGATCTTCTGATAACAAAAGAAACAAATGATATATATACCCTACAACATTCACATAATTTGGTCTTAAGCTTATATTTGACTATCTATATCCAAAAAAATCAAACTAAATGAGAAACACTATTAGGAAAATGCTAATTTTTTTTGAAAATTTCTTATAGAATTTGTCCAAAATTGACTTGTTGGTAAAAAGTTTCAGATGGAAAAGTCATCAGAAACGTTATCGACAAGCCAAATTTCTTGACGGATTACATCAGAAATTTTTTATAGAAAATTAGCGATTTTCTAATAGTGACTAAAAGCAGAAGATATATATTTACGTACCCGGCGAGGGAGGGTGGATAGGCAAGGAAAAGAACCAACATTTGGTCTTTGTAATGCATATTGCAAAACTGTTTTCAGTTGAAGTTGCCCATCTAATTCTTCTCGCAATTCCTCAACCTATTAACAATACATACGAATATTCAAAAATGTCAACAGGTGTGTGTCAGACACAAATACGTACGATAATATTTTTGAAAAATCCGAACAACATAGCTAGACAATATTAATATAATTATTACCTCTTCTTCAAGAAGTATTTTTTTCTGTTTCTCATCACTTGGCTGCATCAACAAGTCTTCAAATTTCATCATTCAAAAATGAAATACTTTTTTTGCCCAATTTTCAAAATTATTTAGCCAAGATATGTGTGAATATTTGATTCATTCACATATTTAAGATATGATAATTAATGTGGAAAAAAAAAGTGAACGTGAGTTGCACCAACAAACTTGTAAGGACAAATTGAGGTGAGACAGGACGTGATGTCCATGAACTGTTTTAATATTCAACCGTTTGTCTGGTTGTCACAAGGGAATCATATGGTTGGTTACAAGTTCGATAAGATTCAGTAATTTCGATTCAAATTTTATATTCGTGCTAAAAGAAATGTTTGATAGGTACTTTTTCTGTTTTAATTTATTTATCTTAGTTACTATGTGAACAATCAAAAAGAAAAAAATTGACCATATTTTTATCAAATATTATTTAAATAATTTGAATTGTTGACTACCATGACTTATAATAATACTTTTATGTAGTATCTAAATATGTAAATTTTATTCCATGAAAAAATGAATAGTTCATATCCGAATTCACATTGAATATTAGTTATTTCGACCAATCTAAACCAAACCAATACAAATAGAAAGATATTGAGTATACATATCAGTTCAGCTATACAACAATAACATACTCGTTGTAATCTCAAAAGTGAAGTTAATTACTGGAAAGTGATGTGTTATTCGGGAGCGAAGCTACAACCAATTAAGAATGTGCAGCTGAACAACCTTCATCAAAAAATTACACCTCCACCTAATCTATTAGCTATCTCTGCTATTCTTTTTAATTATTATTATTATTCAAATTGCTTTTTTATCTGTCTCCGATGGCGCATCCCGCAAATTACTAAGTAATCTATTAATTAATTAATTTTTTATCATTTTTTATGAGTCGAATCTATAATAATCTTTAAACAAGAAGTGAAGGGTGTTTACTTGAGAAAATCCACAATTCAAGTAAAATATATAAATCTAATAGTGAAAAAGAAATACAGTAATACTGAAAAAAGTCATATTGAAAATAATGAACAAAAGAAGATCAACGATAATAAATAATACAATAATCAAAATAAATTAATAAATGGTCTAGAATCCATAAACTTAACTTTGACCTTTTATTTTTTGTTCATAAATAAAGTGATTGCAATACAGTCACGAGCATAATTATAGTACCTAAAAATATTATTGGTGGCATCTTATTTGACTTTGAAGAATAAACATAAAATACTTTATATGCTTTGTTAATTCTTAACAACTTTACAAGTTACAACTCATGTATTAAATATACAAAAATTAAGTGATGTAAATACTTATAATTAATTATTTTTCACCAAGTACACAACTTTCGTACTATTAATTAGAAATTGTGTACCTTCAAACAAAATAGCTTCATGTTGTCCGTTGTCTCAATTTATATGAACATAAATTGAATTTTGAAAGTCAAACTTTCTAATTTTGATCATGAATTTAGATTTTTTTTTAAAAATAAAATTTATATATTTGAAAATTATGTTAAAAGTATTTTAAATTATAATAATTGATAATTAAAAATATTTAAAAGGTAGATGAAACTTTTGGAACTAAAAAAAGTTCGATCAACTTTTGAAATCCGAATACGACCACGTCAACTCATGGCTAACTTTTTAGTGATTTTTCTATATATATGTATATATATAAGATCTGAACGACTGAGCCAAAATTATTAAATTCAGATAAACCCGCATCATTGACAATACATCCACCCCTACAACGATATATGTTCTCTTTGAAGAATTAAATTCCGAATTATATGCTTTGTGAGAAATAAAATAAAAAATAAATCAGTATATTATGAGAAAAGAAATACGATAAAAACAAAATGAATAAGGTATATATCTAGTCGATCGGCCAAACCAATTACATTTAGTAGACAAATATACACTATTTTGTTTTTTAAAATGTATATTTTATGTACATCATTCAATAATATACCATAAAATACACATATACTGACTATTATTTTGATGAACGATTAGATAATATAGTTTTTTCGGGTAAGGTTTGGGCAATTTAACGGGTCACGGTAGGGCTATTTCACCCAACCCGTTAAACGTTGGGCGGGCTAGACAGATTAAATGATGATATTGAATCTTGATTGCCAGTGCCATCATTGGGAGTTGGTGGTCGGACAGGACGCCATTGTAGAGATGGTAACAAAAGGTGTTCATTTGCCCTCCAAATTGCAATATTTTTTTCATTATCATGTGAAAGAATTCGAGCAGCTTCATTTTGTTTAGTGCTTAGAAGAAGCAAAAACAATAGTAGCATCAATATTTTAGTACTACACATAGAAGCTAAAATGTTAGAACTACTTATCTGTGATTTCATTTTCTTGAGATAATTGGAATGAGAAATTGGAGTTTAAATCACAAGGGATATTTATAGTCATGAAAATAATTAACGCGTTACCAAAAGTCGTTCAAACTTTTACAATTTTTTTTAATTTCATGAAAAAAGGATTTGACCATTGACTTCTAGGGTTTATGAAAAAAAAGAAAATTGAAGTTGAACTAGTCCTATGAAAATTAAATGAAAACACATTGGATATTTTACAAATTAGACCAAAATCATCTATATAAAAATATTAAAACAAAAAAAAATTGAATTTGCTTGCCAGAGTGAAATCGATTACAAGTGCTCGATCGATCAGATAGGATAGAAACGAATAAGAAAGTTCAATCTTCCAAAGGCCTTCAAAGAGATGGGCTTTAGGGGACAATACTTTTTGTGGTTTGCGTACGAAAAAGTCAAATATTCTACGCAGACTTGATTTATTGAAATTTTTGCTTGAAAAAATGCTTTCAAGCTTAAACTTATTTATTTAGTTCTATAGACATAAGAGTATATTTTTGTAGGCTTGAAATAATTGAGAAAAGAATAATACGAAGGAAAAAAGAGTAATAATTTTTTTCTTTTTCTTTATAAAATCATTTTTCAAAATTCAACTACAAAGTTTAAAGATATACGTCCCCAATTACCAACTTTAATTCAAAAACTCAAAATCAATTTTCTACATATGTTAGAAGTCAAGTACACCTTTCCCCTTCTTCAATTTATAGACATTAATAAATTAGGAAATTAAATTTGGAATTATTCTTCGAGTTATAAATTAATTAATTCAAATAGTCAAACGTAAAGAAGAGGTAAACCATATTAAATAAATAGAGAGAAAAAGAGAAGGGCATTTCCTCTATTTTTAAAAGATATATAATTTTGTTAAGCTTTCTTAGAAGGGAATTTTTTTTATAAATTAGTGTTGTAATCCTCTGCTCTAAGTTTACTTATGATCACAAGTCAAACAAAATTTGATCTATAAAAAATAATTAATCTAAATTATCATTATTTATGTATTAAAACACAACTAGTTAAAGATGCTGACAGTTCAAATAGAAAAAGATGGACTAATTAACTTCGAAGTGTGTTTAATACATAAATAGGTTAGAATACATGAATAATATAAAAAATCTTTAAGCCTCAATGCACATAATAAGTCGAATTATATTTTGTATATAATATGAAATCCTTTATCATCACATAAACCTGCACTCAATTTTTCATATATTTAGATTTATTTTTTTATGTGGTTTGATCTGTTTTTTTTATTTATTTATTAGTTCGTTCCAGACGATCGATACATTTCTCTATTTGAAAATATTTTATCATGAAATCTTTAGTTATACTATCAAGCATAAGCTTATTAGCTACAAAGATATCAATATGTTTGAAATTTCAAGTTATTCATATTTTTTTCTTAAATATCGTATCAAATCAAATATTACGCCATAAAACAAAACTTTGATGGTACACATGACTCTCTGTACTGTCAAGTTTACTATGGTGCCAAGTTTACAAATTTTATATTTTCAATTTTTCAAGTTACAATTAATTTTGAATTGTTCAGCCAAAACATTGCACTTTTATGTAGACAAAAAACACAGAAAATGATGAAGCATTTCATTTTCATAAATATGAAAATATATACTATATAATAAGTCTAGACAATGATAGTGCGTAACTATTTTTTATATTATCAGGTCATTTGAAAAGTAATTCTATAAAATTTTCGACATTGGCAATTGAGATATTGGAAAAGTATGTATCATATTGAGATAAAGTTAACATTTATGTTATATAAAAATAAAAAAGTACAGGAAAAATTAAAGAATCTGTCCAAGTCAAACTGCACATAAGGCAGCTCAAATCTAAAAAAAATAAAAATAAAATCAAGTCAGTGACGATTACATTGTTAGTATGTAAAACTTAAACTCTCTTCTTTTATTTGATGTTCAGTGGAAGAGGTTGGAAGTGGTGGAGGATGTGAAAAAATATCTTTACGACCAACAAAATTCCTTTGTGATACTTGACTGACCATGTTAGTACGAGCATTAGTACCGGGATTTGATCCAGGAGGACGAACTGGACGCCATTGCAAAGATGGTAATAAAAGATAATTAGTTTCTTCTTTATGTTCAAGAAATCTTGATGCTTCACTTGTTTCTATTTTTAAAAATAGAAAAAATAGCAAGATTATACAACAAGTAGCAAAAAAATTGTTATTTGCCATGTTAATTTAATTTGTTGGAAAAAAATAAGATGGAGTTTGAAAGAGTTTATGATTTTGGTGAATAAAGTTAGTGTGATGTGATTATAATTAATTTGTTGTGTATTTATACTCATTATAGAACGTGTTGCTACGACTTTGATTTTTTCATGATTTTCTAATTTTTCAATTTTGTGGTGATATTTGACCATTGACTGTTTGTGGGTCAAAAAAAGAATTAAGCCAAAAAAGAAAATCATATTGAACTGGTCATATATTATATATGAGAGAAGAAAAGAATATATAAAAATAAATAAAACTAGAACTGGTCATATGCTAGAGAAGCAACAGAAAAAAACTCATAAAATCATTTTTTTATTTCTAATCCGATATTTGATAATCTCGTAATTTTTTTTGATTAATTCAGTTTCGTATCACGTACTTTTAACAGAAAATCCATTTAAGAGGAAAACAATCAATTTTTGCTTTAACTA